CATTTATGATCTGCAGATTAGCATTAGAAAAAACCTTAGAAGCATAGTTATAGCAAAATATATCTCAGGATAAAAGCCAATTTACCATTACCCTTATAATAAATTAGACTATCAGAGTTTTAGTGACCTTTAAGTATATAAATATTCAGCATCACTTGTGGTTACACAATAGGCGATGAAGATGTGATCTATAGATGCATGATATAGATGAGATACGAAAGGAAAGAGAATAGATAGAAGCACAAAATATTCACCTGCCACAGTATGAGCATCAATGAATCAACAAGAAGTAATACAGCCAAGAGCACATAAGCTTCCCAGACGGATGGCTTCGGTATTGCTGATGGAGATGACGGCAGTGAGACTGTTTCCGTTTGCCCGGGTATAACCTTTATGGGACTCGAGCTGGTCGAAGTCAGGCTCATTAGGACTGAGACACAATTAGGCCCTTTCAGACAATTGTCGAAGGCAACGTTGTCGTCGTTTTCACCAACGACATTACTCTCACCAATACCCACAGTAGCTGTGCCACTAGCAGTGGCATTGCCGTTTATACTACTACCACCACCACCACCAACCCTAGCGTCGCACCTTTCCTCACAAGAGGAAGACTTTGGCCCACGCCATTTTAGCAAGCCGAGCTGACTTGCTTCAACACCTCTTTTCCTTGTAAATAGCTGTCCACCCTTTTCCACGAACCCAGTGGTTGACGTCGAAAAGTTTTTGCCTGTATTGGTTGACACAGCTTCGGCAATTTTTCTGGGGACCTTGCTGGTGCATCGAGAAGTAGCATTCACATGACCCACCATTGTAGCACTTGTCTCGGCAGCCTTATGGCGTCGTCTCCGAGTAGCTGTTAGGTATACGAGCCAAATTTTGCAGAACAAGCTGCCGTAGCCCATGGTAAAGCCTAGAGAGAGCAGCCACAGCTTGGCCTATGAAAGCAATCAAGTATAAAAATTAGAAGTAAATGGAAAAACTTAAAATACAACGGACCAAAAAGGATTATTTTAGTGCGAAGTCAAAGAAAAGCAAGAAAAATACACATCCTTATCAAAACATCATGAAATTAAGAGTTATTTTAGGACACAAATGACTCTGGAGTATGAATGCCGAAAAATAATTTCATTTAGTGTGTCACTCACAAACAATTAAATTTTCAACATGTTTCCAAGAAACTGACAATACTTTTGCGTTGTATCGATCACTTTTTCTTAGAAGTTTAGCAAAATACGGCTGCATGAAGCTTAGATTAATAAGGCATTCAAATTCATAAAAAACGAAGCCACTAAAAGAAAGTCAATCTTTTTAAAATATGAAAATATAAGAGTTTATTTAAATCAGCTTTATGCGAATAGAATTACATAAACTTAAATACAATAAAGTAGATATGAAGACTAAGATGGTATGACCTTCTGTTCGGTCTCAATGTCCTCTATATTTAGTGTTGGTTCGACCTCCTTTTCGTAACAAAGTCAGAGCGTCAGGGAGACCTTGTGGAACGTACCTAGTCCTGTTTCCTTGCCATAATACTTGTGATTTCCAGCATCAGACCATTGACTTGGTACATTTCCAAACGTTTCACCGAAATTGTCAGTACAGAGTTACTTGTCAAAGTGACAGGTGAAAGCAATCCCCTTGACCAATTTACAGTTCAAATAGTTGTGGCATCACTCTTCGAGCCTAATTTTTGTTCTAGCTTCTAGTGCTGCATCTCTTTCTTTCAATTCGACTTCATATGGCCCATCTACCTATTCACTATTCTGTGCTCTCGTTTCCTCCATAACCACGTTTGTCGCTACAAGTTGGTTTAGTGAAGCGTAGTCATCTTCACCATCAGTACCAAGTGCCTTTTGCAGGGCTCCTGACCATCATTCAGCCCACCTTCACCAAATCCGCTTGCCAATTGGTCGCTGCTAAGCATCAAAATCAGCGTCTGACTGTCTGAAATCTTGCTGCCTAGACGCCTTTAATTCCTGTTCTCGATTACGTCATATTTAAGGATTTAGAGCATATGGTGCCCATTCCAAAAAATTTTATTCTCCCTAGGCTTCAAACCTGACTCAGTTATCTCCTTCCTCATTCCTTTGGGCCCTGTGCTCGATTTAATTTCTAACAGCTAGTGTGAAAATGCACCAGCAATTTTTTTAGTGTATTCGCTGAGTTTCTAAGTCTGTTCAGGCAATACGCGAAATTATCGCTGACCCTTCCCTCCTGTAATGTCCTATTCATCAGGTTTCTTTGAAAGATGTCCACAGCCTCCCTGATTTTCCGTTTTCGGATGCTTTCTCTATATGAGGCCAGGCTTTCCGTTCAACTCCAGTAAATTGTAGGGCCGGTATGAGCGATGTATTTAGCCAGCTCCGATCTTTCCGAATGCATTTTTCTGGATAGTTGCTGGTGTTGTTTGATCCTTGTGCTGATTATCCCTATCGTCTCCCCTATGCATTTTGGTTTACAGTCTTTGTAGTTTATGCTGTAAACACCGGATCACTCGATCTTTTTACTCCTTCGTGTTAAGCAGGCAAGGTGGTAAAGAGGGCTGTCCTTTTTATAGTATTGGCCACAGCTTCCGAGTCAATTCGCAGGAGGGTAAACATATCCATCGTTTTTCCTCTGTTTCTCTTGCTTTTCTTTCATAATCTCCGTCCTTCCCTCTGTTCACAGCCATCCGTATGTTGCGTGGTATTCCTTCTCCTGGATATCTGCTTCAAGAAACATCTGAGTTAGTTTTTACAGAGCAAGAATTGTGTGGATAGGTAGATGGACCATATGAAGTGGGTTGAGAGAAAGAGATGCAGAACTAGAATGAAGAACAGAATATAGAGACGAGGAGTGGTGCCACAACGGTTGAACGAAAAATTGGTCAAGAGGATTGCCTTCATTTGTCACTTTGTGTGGATATTAGTACCTCTCACTGACGATGTCGAGTACGATGCCGGCGAAATGTTTGGGAATGTACTGAGTCAGTGGTCAAATTCTGGAAATCACGAGTACTATGGCATAGGACACAAGTCTAGGTACGTTCCACAAGCTCTCTTTGACGCTGCGACCAAGTTTCGAAAACGAGGTACAACCAAAACTCTCACTTATTACGCCCAAATTAATGAAATATCACATTAAAAATAAAATAAAGCACAAGTAAAACGGTTTGCGTATAAAGTCTATGATAATAAGGGGTCTGTGTCTAGCAGACATTAACCACAGGGACCAGGAGACCGGTAGAATGAGGCATATACTGTTTAAAAACAATTACCCATTAGGATTAGTGGACAATTAAATAGCAATTGTCGGTAACAAAATGAGGGGAGTTTGCTGAGGCGTGACAGACAATTGAACCATTATACTCGTTTCCTGATTATGCCTTCCTGACAGCTTGCAAAAGAGTTGGGTGATCTACTAAGTGAAACATAAAAAATAATTTATAAAGAGAAATTAACATTTTCTTCAGCAGTTCCTTCGTTTAGAGAATTTTCAGATCCTCCTTTTAGATCAGGCTGTAACAAGGTTTTGTGCTCATGCGATAAGGTCTATGTGGGAAGACCTGCCGACTCATCTAGAGGAGAATATGTTAACATAAAACCACTGCTAAAGGTCTATGGGTCCAAAAATCTGGCCTCGCTCAACATGCGACTATTACAGGACATCCAATAGACTGGTCAAAACACTACATTTCGCGGGTTTGAAGGACTTCACATCAAAGCGTAAGGTTAGGCTATCTATATAAATTAACAAAGCAGCCAACGTCCTAAGTAGGAACTATTTGTGGCTGTTGGATAGGCTTAAGGAGAGAGAGAGAGAGTGCAGGAAGAGTCATTGAACAAGCGAAGGAGGCTGGATCAACCTCGAGTATGGCTAGGACTATCGCGCTTTCCATGACATGAATATTAGATACAAACAATAGTACAAGCCCAAACATGATTTAACATTAGATGATCGTACACTAGCTTATTTGTATAAGGAAGCAGCTGCCACCGAACGCACTTCGGGTTCGGGAAGTAACTACACTCATTTGCAAGCATGTAGAGTAAGGTTGAATTAGCCAACCAAATCATGAGATGGTTCTTTAATATCATGTATGAAAAAGCGACTAGGGTCGCAGCCGACCACCTTTTTTCTTGGTTTAGTATATTCCTGAAGTATGGAATCTTTTTCCGATGATGTTTGCCACAGTGCAGACAAAAGCTTAGCATAGTTTCATAGGAGTCGCAGGACGATGAGCCGAGGACTTCTTCGCACAATTCAGCAGTCTCCCCTACGCGGCAATGCTTGTTCGGTTTCCGATGAGACCACATCACGAATTTCTTCCAACCAACTTTCCCTTCGAAATGGAGACTCATACCACAATATATCACTAATGAATTCTTATAAACTACGAATACCCAGTAATTTGGATGCCACAAATGATTGCTGTCAGGCTAAAAGTGGGGTGCAGCAAGCGACCTCACTTGGTCAAAACTACAGGCAATACTTCCAAACATAAATCACAATGGTGATTCAAGACATACTCACCAGGTTAGCTGGCGACTAATTATGTTTAGCTCTATCGCCTTTGAGCGAGTTGGATTAGATATCCAAATTCAAGAAAATATAATCGGAAACGATTTCAGACCTAAATAAAATGTAGACATTAAATGAAATCGACTAGACTCCTGTTACAAATAAACTAGTGTTAAGTAAATCATAGTTTTACAGTTAAGTGAAAATCAAAAGGAAGGCTCCAATAAGTACTAAGCAAGAGTAATTTTGAAAATTAATATAAAGTAAATTAAGGAAAAACTAGCCACTTCTAGCATATTCAATCATCTGGTCTACTGAAAGCTCAAATTTACCTTTGCTCAGTATATATCTGCACCACTTCTCTGAGTTCTCATTTTGATTATAATATTTAATTTAGAAAAGTTAGAGTTGATTAGCACAGAGTGATTGGCTAGTAATAATTAGTTCTTGATTAATAAAATTAGTAGTAAGTATGATGAGTTATATCAAGGTAATCTTCAGAGATTAAAAAAAAGTTCGATTTGGGTGTGTAATAACCCAATTGGCTTTATTTGAGTATCGCTTGGTCGCAGGACCATCGTGTTGCATGATATTGCGCGGCTGTTAACGACTATTTTGTACTTAAAATTTCGCACATCAGTCAACTCAATACCCACTAAGATAAACAAGGACCTTAATAAATAAACCCGCCTTTTGAGCAAATCAGATTATATAAATTATTGTACATATATATTA